TAGATCTATTTCCCCATCCTCCTATAAATATATTTGCATATGTACATGTCTTTATCTAGACCTCTAGAAATGCCCTTTGCCTCCCAGCTCTTTCCTCTATTTCCCTTGATTTTCCTGAAAGGAGGGTTTTTCAAATCGTGAGACTGAATGTAAATTGCTCTGCTGGGTTTCCCAACTTGCTTGGGGCCCATTGTCCCTCCTTTGGCTCCAATCTCTCCTGGTTGTTATGGGAACATCTCCCTTTCATCTGCCCCACCAAGCTACTTGGGAACAGATCTTTTGTGTCTAGATTCACATACTCACAGAAGCAAAAGGTTTGTGTCCCAGAATGGAATACACCTAAAATCTCATGCATATTTGATGTAGACAATTGAGAAGATGAATTTTGGATTTGTAATTAAGATTTTTGGCATGCTGTGATGGGTGAATGCCTTTTGTTCGTGAGAAAGACATGAATTTGGTGGGGCTAACGGGTAGACCATATGGATTGAATTATATACCCAAATATAGGTGTCATAAATCCTTTCCTCTGGCGGCACTGTTAGATAAGCGTTGAACTGCCCTCCATAAGGTCGGCAGTTCCAATCCACCTGCTATTCCATGCGAGAAAGGTGTGGCTATCCCATAGAGGTTTACAGCGTTGGTCGGAAACGCTAGATAGGGTTTCTGTGAGTTGGGATTGTGGGGTCCCTGTGGTTATAATTGCATTTGGGATGTGTTGTGTTCATGACACAACTTGCTTGCTTGCTGAAAGAGAGGAGGGCTTGGAGCACAGGCTGATGAAGATTTTAGACCTCAATGTAAAGACAACAACAATCCTGAAAACTGGACCATCAGGCAACACCACAGATACCTGGAGAAGGGGTGGAAACCGTCCTAGATTTCGTCGTGCTCAGATCCACAATCAGTGCCATGCAAGCAGCGATTCAGAACTCAAAGGACGTATTTCACTGGGTGAATCTGCTGCACAAGGACCTCCTTCAAGTGTTCAAGGCAAAGATGTCACTTGGAGGACTAAGGTGTGTCTGACCCCAGTCAGGGTCTTGTTGATGGTCTCAATGCGTTTGAACCTGACGATGAATGTGGGAAACAAAAGAAGCACGCTTACCTTAGAATTACTGCGTGGGAGAGGAATCCTAAGCGCTCCCCAGGCTGCCAGAACAACGTCTGTCCCCAGAGAAGCGCCGCCCGGTGCTGTGAGATCTCTTGTCCTATGACACATTATCAGGAGAAAACTGTCTGGCTTGGTGAGGTCACGGGCGGCAAATGAAGACTAGGCGGACTGGCCCAGCGGCTGCACTGTGGGCCGTGGGCTCCGCCGAGAACCCTGGGCGCAGGCTTCCTCGTGTTGTGTTTGTGCACTGGCCACTGTGAGTCGGACGGGCGCCGCGGCACCAACCACGGCGTTCGAGAGGCAGGGCGCATGCAGGGGCATCTCACGCCAAGCTCTTCTGAGACACGTGCCACGAAACGGAGCAGACATGGCGGTGGAGACGCCCAGCCGCAGGGCCGTCCTCCCAGAGGGGTCCCGGGACCGCGGTCTTCAAGCTGGTGAGAAGCCGCGGAGGAGGTGGGCCTAGGCTGCCAGGTGCACAGTGGCCGGGCGAGAGCGGAGCGTCCAGCAAGCCCGGCGCAGGTCTCACACGCATGCGCGCACGTACGTTTGCACGCGCGGACTTAAATTACGGTGAAACCGTGCGAGGCAAACCTCAGCCCTCGGCTTCACGGTGCTTGGCAGAGCTTCCGTGTTTTTTGTTTTTTTTTTTTAGTTTATTTATTTTTTTTGCTTCCGTGTTTTTAAGCAGATGGTGAGCTGGCGTGCTCGCCTTGCCACTGAGCCTGTTGGTCCCCGTCCTGACACTCAGCTGTGGCCAAAGGACCGGACCACACCCCAGGCGGTGGCTGTCCACGGAGCTCTGTCGTCTGGAACCCCGGCCATCAGCGCAGTTGTGGCCTGATTTTGGGAGTGTGGGTGCTAAGCGTGCTTAGAGCGCCTGTGGGCCACGGGCGAACCTTCCCGGGCAGCTCAGGGGGCTGTTTTGCCCTCAGAAGACACGAAGCTGGGGTCACGTTTCCGGTTTTCACTGGGTGCCTGCCGACACCGACAGCGCCAGCCCCCAGGGTGCCAAACGCCGGGCGGGGCGGCCTGGGGAGTGGTTCCATCTCCGGGAGGAGGGACCCAGCAAACACCTGAGGGACAGTCTTGAGGGTGGGTTCAGGCGAGCGAGGGCTGCAGCAGTCACGTGACACGGACGGTTTCTTCGATGCAGACTCATTTCAGCCTGGGGACAGGCCTGCCGGGAGGAGCCGTGTGGGCTCACTGCCCTCGGTGGCCCTACTTCCCATACCCTGAATTCCCGCCCCTCAGCCCGCACCCCCAGCCCCAGCTGGTCCCGCCCACCTGCCCTGCGGAGCCTTTCTCAGCGCTTGGTGACACCGCCCTCGCGCGGCCGTCCCGGGAACTGCGCGGCCCCAAGCCCCTGTGGAAGGATGTGGAAGGTGACCGGTGTCCCCTGACCTTGAGAGCCAGCCAAGTTGGGCCAGGTGCCCGTGGGAAAGATGATGCCCTGCCTCTCTGAGGGGAGGCCGCTCAGAGGCAGGTGTCACTCCTCCTCTACACGCATGCTCCACCGCACACACATGTACTTACTCCCATAGACACACTCTCACACTTACTCTCTCCGGTACATACACACCTGCCCCCAGCACAGGTCCTGGACCACTGTGGATCCGTGGGCCACAGCAGAGGTGGGGGTGGGGGGGGCAGACCTCCAGAGAGAGCAAGAGTCTCCCCGGGCCCTGTCAACTCAGGCTCTGACTATCCCTTTGTGGGGGTGCAGGCCCTCCCCACTTGTCTAGGCCCTAGGCATAGACTGCCAAGGGAAAGCCAGCAGGCCTGGGGGTGGGGGTGGGGTGGGGGACAAGACAGGGAGGGAGGCAGCTAAGACCAAGCCAGGCAGCCAGGGTAGGGGGTCAGAGTAAAGCCAAGCAGTGTTGCCAGGCAGAGTCCCTCCCCCAGGGATGGCTGGGGGCATGAGGGAGGGTCCTGGGTCCTTTAGGGCCCCTCACTTCCCCAGGGGACACCAAGGACAATGCTGGGTACTGACTGATGCTAAATACGGGAGGGTGAGCTGGTTGTGAACCCTTGGTTGCCATTGTTAACCCTTGAGTTGGCCCCAAGTCCAGCGGAGAAGAGGAGGCTCCGCCCCATGTGACTCCCACCCCGAGACTGCTGTCACTGGCTGGTGTTCAGAAGCCCTTCCTGATCCACATTAGTCTCCCTTCCAGCATCGCAACGACACACCGACCCAAGCAGATGGGCACAGGCCGTTTGTGAGGTGGCCTGGTTGGGAACCACTGCCCAGGGTTCCTTAGGGGCTGCCTCCTTAGTGCCCAGGCTGTGTCTCCAGGGGGAACCGGGTGGAGCATTTAGAGAGAGCAGTGAATGGTCGGGGGCAGGGGACAGCACCCCACAACTGCCACCCTCGGGTCTCTGGCCAGCCAAGAAGCAGGTGGGCCTGGCTGCAACCGTGGTGATGAAACAAAATGCAATGCTGCCCTACAGCTAGGGCACTGGGTTCTCCTATTTAGTGTCCAGATTTCGGGAACTCTTCCACCCGGCACATCTCGGAGCTGCTGGCTCGGCAGGAACAGCAGGCCTTTCTCAATGAATGCACAGACGGTACCCAGGCTCGTGTGAAAGGGCTTGAGCTTCCTCTACTCAAGCTTGCATCGTGCTCTGCTCCTTTTGAAAAACGGGACGTTCAGGCTTCAAATGCACAGCAATGCAGACGTTTATATGTATACACACACGCACTTGTGCAAGTGCGAGGTAGACAACCCGGGTGTCCTGGGCCTTAGAGACAACAGAAGAGAAGGCTGCATGATCCAGTGTGATCCTCACAATCGCGGCCATGGTGGGGAGGAGGGGGCGTCCTGGCAGCTGGGGTGCGAACCCCTCTCTCCAGGGGTCTCTCCCGCCTGGCAACCCTTGGCTTCCCCAAACACGATGCCCTCCTGCCCACACCTGCAGTGGTCTGCTGTCCAGGGTTGTCACTGACTGGACTTCTATTCCAGTCTGGCTTGGTTAGGAGACTTGCGGGGGAGGCTTGTCCTCCACGGTGACGCTGCCAGCATTGAAACAGCGGGGCTACGGCTGTCCGCATCATTGCGGTGTGCCCCCACCACGACGACCGCGACGCGGAGACGCAGCGCCGTGGTGGTACCTGCGGGCAGAGTGCGGGCCTGTGCAGGGCCTCCTCCCACCAGTCCTATCCGGATGCCACGCCCATCGGTGACCCTCCCCCACCATAACCACCCCCTACTCCATTACCAAGGCAGGGATGCACGACCGGCTTTGTCTGAATCCCCCCTCCTGTCTCTGACCGCCTTCACCTTGCAACCAGTGTCACGCTCCGTCCTCAGGCCAATCTCCGGGAAGTTGCCCACTCGGGATGAATCTCGTCCTCGCCCCACGCACAGCCCCAAGAACAGGTACCCGCGGAGGCAACTGCGCGCCGGCCAAGTGTGGCCCCGCCGCCGACCCGTAGGTCCGGCGTCCCTCCCGTCGCTAGGCAACTACCTTGCTGGTGGCCTAGGACGCCGACCAACTGTAGGTGGTGGTGCTGCCGGGCGTCAGCGCCATGGACCTGATCATTACCCAGCAGCTGGCCCATGCTGACAGCCAGCAAGGTGGGCCCACGACCACGGCGACCCCCGCCCCGGGGAGATCCGAGGGGAATCCGCCACGGCCCCGAGCCGCTCGCTGGCCTCGCACTGCGGTGGGGATGTGGTCAGGCTTGGGCGCCTTTCCCCCAGCACGCCCGTGGACCCACGTTGAGCCGCTTCCCACGGCGCAGGATCCCCGACCCCCACCCCCATCCCAGTCCTCTGCGCTTCTGGGGGCGGGAGGGACCCATGGGAGGCGGTGAGAAGGGAAGGGTGCTGTGGTTTCCACAGGGGTTCCTTAAGGGCAGGGCCAAGCTCCTGACCCCGGGGCCACCTGTCATAACTCCATGATGCGGGCGGCGGCAGTGTGTGACCCGTTCTCGCCGATCGTGTGCACAGATGTAGCCTCCCTGTGGAAAGCTTATGAGCTGATCAAGTCGGCCAACCTGGGCAAGTCCGAGTTCGACCCCACTGAAAGCTTCAGCCCCGACCTGCTAGTCCTGTGTGCCGAGCAAGCGCTCAAGGTCTGTCTGGGACCCCTCATGCGAGGGGCCTGGGAGGTGGGCAGGGGTCAGTGGCACACGGGATCTAGGGCCTGTGATGACCCTCTCTGGATTCCAGATGGGGCAACGGGACATGAGTCAGGACTGCATCCAGATGTACTTCAAGGTCAAGGGGCCCATCACCCAGTTTCTGGGCCGTGCGCACCTGTGCCGAGCCCAGCTGTGCGCCCCAAAGTCCCCCGAGAACCTGGTGAGTTGAGGGGCCTGGGAGTGTCCCCCAGCTTACTCCCCACTGTGCATCTGACTTAGAAGTCCTGGCTCTACCACCGCCATGTTCTTGGTGGCCAGGCCACTGCTATCAGGTCCACTCCAACGCCCAGTGACCCTGTGGGACAGAACAGGACTGTCCCTGTGGGTGTCTGAGGCTGGCGGTCTTCCTGGCACCAGACGGCCCTTTCTCTGGGAGCAGCCAGCGGGTTTGACTCCTGGCCTTGCTGTTCATTTGCAGCCAGCAGTCATCCCACAGCACCCCCGGGCTCTTTCCCACTCGGAAAGGGCTGCCTATTTGTTGTCCTCTGAGTGAGCTTCCCCTGGGGACTACAGGAGACCTGTCCAAGGCTCACCCTGCGCCCCAATGTGTCTGCCTGCATAGCTTTCAGAATAATGTTCAGCAACGTGAAGCTTGCTACCAAACCCACGTCCATAGCCAGCTGAGAAGCCAGGTGCCTGTCCAGAGGCTGTCCAGCAGCTGTGGAAGCCAGGCTGCCCTGGGTGCCACCCGCAGGGTGACCAGGTGCTTGGTGCCTATTTCAGGCGGAGTTTGATGATTGTGTGACCCAGTACATGAAGACGATAAACTTTGCCAAAGGGGAGCCCAGGTAGGTCAGTCAGGGGCCAGTCCCCTCAATGCTGTGGACACTCAGAACTGGGGTGGGCCGAGGCTCTGCCTGCTGGGGCACCCGGGTCTCTGTCCTCCTTCTTTCTTGTGTGTTCACTGTGCTTGTGACTGGCCTCTCCTACACTTCTGTGTGATGGGCTGGAGTCTGTGTTCTTGACTGCCTTATGCAGTCTCCAGCCCACCAGGGCCCATGTCTGTGTCTAGAACCACCGTGGTAGGGGATGGACGGTGGAGTCCTTCTGGGTGGGGCTTCCACTTGTCGATACTGCCCCCTAGCTGAGGCATTGGCAGATGTCACCAGGTCGGTCAGACTCCGAGAGAAGACGGCGCTGCCGGCCTCACAGCTGTTGCTGTCTGAGCCCACGGCCACAGCTGCTGCGCTAGCCCATACTGTTGAGGGCTTTCCTCCTCTTTGCTGTCCCTCCACTTTGCCAGGCATGATGACCTTCCCTGGAGACGATTGAACGCCCAAAGCTCATGCCCAGGAGTCTGGCCATCTTGCCTCTTTTCCCTGGTCAGCTCTGTGTGTTGATGTAGATGGACGTTAACCGTGCAGATTGCTTTCCCATCAGCAATTCACACCCATTTTGTTCCCTGACTTGGATGACTGTCCCGCCCCACTTCCTCCTGGTTTCCAGGCCCACTGTCCTCCTGCCCTGGCCCCTCCTGCCTTCTGCGTGCCCTCCCTGGCAAGCCTGGCTCTGCTGAGCTGTCTGCTTGGTGGGGGTGTGCACGCCTGCCCAGCAATGGCCCCTGGTCTCCCCGCTCTGCAATGACTGGGGAGGAGTAAAGCTGTCTTAGCACCAGTGTGTCTCAGGGAAGAACTCCCAAGTTGCCCAGTCTTGTCCCAGTGGGTTCTCCCTATGTCCTGGGGAATAGGCATAGCGTGTCCACCTAATGGCTGGCCAGGAGGGACCCTCCAGGTCCCTGATGTCCTCCAAAGAGGCACTCCCTGGATGGGACCCCCCAGGGGCTCCTATGGTCCCAAGGCCAGCCCGCCCAGCTGGGGGGTCACTCCCTCCAGGCTCTTCTCCATGCCCCACCTCTTTGTGCCCTACCCTCACATCCTGCCCTCCCACCCCTATCACTTGGGCCCCTCCCCTACCTTTCCTCTGGCTGATGCCCGGCCTTCTCTCTGGGCACAGTGGAAACGTGTCACACATACACTCGCCCCCTGCTGTGTCTTGTCACCCCCACCATGGGGACCCCGGGGAAGCCCAGGGAGGAGGAGCTCCCTGGGGTCCTTTCAGGGGCCTTGGCCAGCTTGTGGGATGCCTGAGGGAGGGAGGGAGGAGGGGTCAATCAGGGCAGAGCTGGGACCATGGGACCAGTGATGGCTGCCCTGGAGGAGGCTGGGGGACAGCTAGTCTGCTGTCACCTGCTGGGGACGGCGAGGGTGGGGACTCCTCCCTCCCATGAGGGGCTTTGAGTTGTGTCATGGGAGCCGGTGTGACCTGGGCCCCCCTCTGACCCCGCCCGCAGGTACTACTTCCTGGTCTATAATGCTTCGGTGCTCTACTGGCAAATGGTGAGGCCGTTCCTAAAGCCCGGCTTCCGCCAGCACCTCATCTCCAGCCTCTCACAGATGGTCCAGGTGTTAGACCAGACCAGGGAGGAGGACAAAGAGTGGCAGGCCACGCTGATGCTGTGAGTACAGCCCTCCCTCCACCTCCCAACTGGCCCGTCCAGTCTGGAAATCTCAGGTGGGCGGGGGAGAGGGGAGGGCCCAGGCCCTGAAAAAGAAACCAAAAGTGGTTTCCCATGGAGGGCTTATGAGATCAGAAACAGACCCTTAATTGAGACGGGGTCAGCTTACTCAGGGGCATGCAGTGACCACTCTTTGACACCCAGTGCTGTGACTGGGACAATGACAAATGCCGGAGGGCGTCCGGCACCCACTCACTGTCTCCCTGGCCCCCCTCTCACCACGCAGCCCCTCTGCTTGTCCTGGATCTCCTCGCAGGGAGAACCCCACAGCCGGCTCCCCATGTGGCTGCCTGCCGCTCCTCATTGTTGATTCCGGATTGCTGCCAGGTGCCGCTGGGCACCCTATGGGCCTGGAATGAAGCTCCGCCCGGCTGCGCCATCCCCACGTGCTTAGGTGCAAGCCCACTGTTGCAGCCTCGGGGTTAGTCCATCTCCATCCCCTCAGGGGCTTCCTCTATTTCTCAGACTTTCTGCTTCACCAAGCGTGGCATCCCTGTCCAGGCCCAGGCCCTGAGAGCATGTGTCGGAAGTGCACGAGCAGCCTGATTGCCCGGGCATCGTAGAGCCTGCTCACCGGCTGGCATGGCACGTGGGGAAGGACTCTTCGGGTGTTTTTCACCGGGAAGCAGTTAGGAGAGCGGTTGATAAAAATGTCCCGGTTTAGATTGCTGTGTGAACAAGGCTTGTCACTTCTCTTGGGTGGGCAGTGGGGACACAAGGTGGAGAATGCTGACGTGGGTGGCCCCCACAGCACCATCACCCCGCAGCCCCATGCTCTGGGCTGCTCAGTGGGGGCAGAATGGTGTCTCTGTAGGTACCAACCGTGTCCCTTCTGTGGCTGAAGGTGGTGAGTGACTTCGCACGTGTCTGTCGGCCATTTGTGTGATGTACTCGGCAGAGCGCTGACTCGTGTTTTATTAGGCTCGTTGTTGTTGTTTTAACGAGCTGAAATACTCCTCCTACTCTCTCGATACCAGTCCACCGGGCCGGCAGGTCAGGTGCTGGGAACACACTCTTCCACTCTGAGACTGACTGTTCCCTCTCCATCCCTCATTTTCTGAAAAGCGATTTTTAATTTGGATAAAGTCTAATTTATTCATTTGTTTCCATTTGTGGTTAGTGGGTTTTGGCTCCCAGGTTGCTTCTCTGGGGGGCTTTGTGGTCTTTGCCCCTACACTTAGGGCTGAGTTGTTTTGAGCCCATTTCCTGTGGGAGCCAGAAGTCCCCTTTCCCCTCAGGCCTTCTGCGTCCCAGCCCCGCTGCTAAGAAGGCCCCCTCTCCCCGTGGGCCTTCTAGGCAAGAGCTCCCTGCTGTTCCCATGGCTCCCTCTGCAAGCATGTCCACTTGTCCTGGGGGCTGCTTCTCAGACTGGCCCCCGCTCCCCCGGCCAGAAGGTGGCTCCACGTCACCGGCATGGGTACGACCTACTCTGGGCTCTGCAGTGCGACTCAGAGGCCAGCTCTAGCCCTGGGGCGCACCTGGTGCACCAGTGGCCCTCATGCAGTGCAGTGACAAGCTCCGTGCGGGGCGGGCCCTGTCCCTAGTCCTGCCTCCTGGTTTAAAAACTCCACTCAGAGAATCCCGGGGATCATCAACATTTTAGCACGAGAAACTGGACATAAGTGCACATGAGCGTGAATGTTCCGAGCGTGGGTGGACTGTCGCTAGGGGGAGTGGCTACATGTCCACTCTGATGGCAGAGGGCCAGGCTGGCGGCAGGGGGTGGGGGCGGTGGCTGAGAAGCCCCAGCAGCAGACTGCAGCTCAAGCTGTGTAATGGTGTCTGGCTGCTGGCTGGGGTCTGTCAGTCTGCCGCGTGCTTGGGGCCAATGAGAGGACGCATCCCAGAGACATCTCCATCACCAGGCTGGAAGCCAGGCTCTGCAGGCGATTGGATTGGCAGTTCGGGGTGCCTTAAAGGGAATGGAGTACAAAGGCAGACACTCTTTAAGAGGATCCTTTTTCATGCCCTGGGCTACTGCAGTGTGGGCCTTCGCCGGGTCTTCTGGTTAGTAGCTGCCTCACTGTCCCTGTCCCCATTTCCCTACAGCTGACCCAGGCAGTAAAGGGCTCTGTGGTTACTGCTCAAGAGGCTGGCCAACCTCTGGAGTTATCTTTCCAGAAGTCGTGAAACATGACAGTTAAAACGAACCAGGCACTGGCCTTTGAGCAGAAAATGACCATCCCCACCCCCACCCCGGTCCCCTGTTGTGCAGAGAGCTGCTTGAGTGTTACCTGGACGCTGGGAGGCGCGAGCACGCTGCCAAGTTCTGCGCCACCGCGGCCCCCTTCATCAAGGTGAACGTGCCGCAGAGGTACCGGCAGATGTTCTCCATCATGGTAAAGTGGCCTGCGGGAAACGTGCACAATTCTGCATTTGTACACCAGTGTGATAGACAGGGTTCTCTAGAGAAACAAAACCGGGATGCTTAGGATTCTATATGTAAAGAGAGATAGAGATATATACAGCACGAAGGAGTAGAACAGCTAATCGGTCCACACAGCAGTACGGAGGGCTCAGTTCAACTCACTTCCATGGAACAGTCAATATACTGGAAGTCTTTCAACTCACAAGGGCTGCCGGGTCCAAGGTCAAGGACGCAGACAGCTGAGTCTTCCCTAGAGCAGTGCAGGTAGTGCAGCCACAAGCAGCAAACAGCAGGGTGGGTCACCAATAGACAGCAAGCCGACAGGATCCAACAGTCCCAAGCTCAAGTGATGTACACACCAGCAGTGTGACGAAGCAGGTCTCGAAGGAACTTCAGGCTCTAGCCACACGATCCACAGGTTGGTTGTCCCACAGGTAGTGTAGCTCACAAGTTGAGACAGAGAACTAGCTAAAGCAGCTGCACGTTGGTCCAATCACCAGAGAGCAAGAGAGGGAGGGACGGGGCTTGCCGAGCCATTGATCTCTTTGCCCTCCAATCCAACTGTGACCTTATTAATCCCACGTGTTCCTATTGGCTAGGTTGGCACAATAAACCTACCAAGGTTCAGAAACCACACGTAGAAACACACAAACCCCTCAGTAGATTGATCCAACCAGACATCAAACAGGCACACACAACCCACAGGGGCCAAGGTGAGTCGGCAAGCCATGCTGCTGGGGTTCCCACTCATATGCCCTGCAACCTGCCTCTGCTGCCGGCTCTCAGGGGTGCACCCGTCCCTGTCTCATCGGGGCAGCTGGGGAAAAAAGCCCACACTCTACTTGATGGTGTGTGTATAATTTTGAGGTCAGGGCTAATACCAAAGTTTAAACGAAGTTCAGGTGATGTTCTCCCAAATCACTGGAGCTTTGCACAGCAAGGCCATAGGAGTGCTGTCCCCAGCAAACATCCGCTTTTAGATCCAGGGTTTGAAGGAAGGTCAGGAAGACCTCAGAGACGAGACAACACAGGAAGCCCATCGACCACCGGGAACGAGGGGCTGTGGCCACGTCCAGACTGGCGCAGGAAGCCCGCAGGATGGACCCACATGGGGACCCCGTGGACTCAGGCCTCACAGGCTGCAAGCAGAGGCCTTGGCCTCAGCGAGCTTTCAGCTTGGTGGGAGCCGGAAGCCTGGTCTTTCCATCGGTCATTTAAGCGCGGTCAAAGCTAATGAAGATGGTTTAATGGGACGAACCATCACTAGGCTGAGGCTTGGATTGGCCCTCAGGGCCCTGAGAGCAGGGCCTGCTGGGCCTTATCAAGCCACGCAGATTCAGTCAGAGGTTATGATGGGTTCTGGGTGCAGATTCAGTCAGAGGTCACGGAGGTTCTGGGGGTCACAGTTGAGCAATTGGTCGGTTTCCTGGGGGACACAGGGTGGTCACGAGGACTGATCTTGATGCGAGAGTGTCAAGGAAGTGGAAGACTGCACTGGCAGGAAGAAGGCCAAACAGAGGGCGCTGAGCAGTTAGTGTCTTTTCCCACCACGCAAGGCACCGGTGAAGCCTAGCAGCCAGCAAGGACCGTCCTATGCGCAAGTCGCTGAGAAACCTGGCCCCCCCACCGGCAGCCTGGCACCGCCCCTGTAGACTTCTTTCTGTCACCCAAACTCAGAGGACATTGGGAAAAAAGAAGGCTGAGCGAGTGGAGGGCGCCCACGGTGGCCCTGAGGTGGTAGGAGTTGGTGTGCGGGAGGACCGGCCCTGCGGAGTGTCCCCTTCACAGGTGGGCAGATACAGATGGAGGGTCAGCGCAGGAGTACCAGCTTCACATTATGTAGTTATTTTTTTCCACATTATGATAGTTTTGTCTAATAAAGCCTTCTAAGATTTTGTAGCAACACAAATGGACTTGCCCTTGCAAACATGTTGAAAAGGAATCCCCTCTCTACGATGTGGGGACATGCTCAGCTTAACCCTGACACTTTGAAAACAACATGGAACATTTCTCCTCCGTTGTCACTCTGCATGGCTGCCTCTGTGGCCGTGCTGAGTGAAAGGAGGTGGACGGAGGTGCAAAGGTGTCAGTAAGACCACAGACCGGGTTTGCCGAGGACTGGCTCAGCTTCCATCGAGGCGCCCGGTGGGGAGCATGGTGGCAGGAGACTTGCGAACGAGGAATGCTAACTTTAAACTGGGCACCAGGGGCTTTCAGAGGTTTGTGGGAAATGGAATAGAGCTAATTATTTGTTTGCCCCAATTAACATTTGGACCCCTTTTATGGTAGGTCCGTTATGAATTAATGGACGAGTCTCATTTACGAGAAGAAATGAAGTCTTCCAGTAGTTTGACTGTCTCTTTCTACATGAACATGCTGAAAGCGTAAGTCGCCTGGGAGGGGCAGCCCTGTGGGGGGAGGCGGGGTCTCAGGGGCAGTGGGGGAGAACTCCTGTGGTCAGACAGGGCACAGGAACTCAGCCCTGCCCTGCCCCCTCCTGTCTGCAGAGGGAGCACAGGGAGCGGGGAGGCAGAAGGGGCCCCGGAGCTGTCCTGAGGAAGATCTGGTGGTGGGAGGAGGAGAAGGGGGAGGTGGCAAAGTGGCAGAGGCAAGGCGGACAGCAGGAGGAGAGATGGCAGAGACCTGCGTGGTCATAGGAAACGAGGGAGAGGGAGCAGGGGATTCTAGGAGCTCAGCCGGAGGGGTGTGCACGGGTGAGCGTGCATGTGATGGGGACACAGTGTGAGTGTGAGTGTGAGGGGGCAGGGTGTGAGTGTGAGTGTGAGGGGGCAGGGTGTGAGTGTGAGGGCACACGGTGTGAGTGTGAGTGTGAGGGCACACAGTGTGAGTGCGAGTGTGAGGGGGCAGGGTGTGAGTGTGAGGGGACAGAGTGAGTATGAGGGGACATAGTGAGTGTGAGTGTGAGGGGACACAGTGTGAGTGTGAGTGTGAGGGGACACGGTGTGAGTGTGAGGGTACATGGTGTGAGTTTGAGTTTGAGAGCACACAATGTGAGTGTGAGGGGGCTGAGTGTGAGTGTGAGGGGACACAGTGTGTGAGTGTGAGGGCACACAGTGTGAGTGTGAGGGGCAGAGTGTGTGTGAGGGCACACAGTGTGAGGGGGCAGTGAGTGTGAGGGCACACAGTGTGTGTGTGTGTGAGGGCACCTGGTGTGAGTGTTAGTGTGAGCGCACACTGTGAGAGTGTGTGAGGGCACACAGTGTGAGTGTGAGGGGCAGAGTGTGAGTGTGATCGGAGCACATTTCTAATGTTCTCCTGCTCTAGGAAATGGGAGAAAAACGAATTGCCTGAGGATGCCCCCTCCACCCTGAAGGCCATCCACAGGCGCCTGGGGTCGTCCAACCACCATCGCCTCCCTTTGATCCGGGAGGAGAAGTGAGTGGATTTCACACCTGCAAACCCTGTGCAAAATGTGAAGTGAGAAGGGGGGTCATGATGACCCGCCCCCCCCCCACAGTCTGCACACACAGGCAGGGCAGCCGTGCGCACAGTGCCCATCCTGGAAGGGCAGCAGTGCTGGTCCACCGGCCCGCCCTGGGCTGACCGCTCCTGTAAGGAAAGCCGTGGCAATCTCCTCCGTCCATGGTGCTGTGGGTCGGCATCAGTCCCTCTCACTTTGCGCAAGTCGAAAGTCGAGCAGCTTAGGAAAGGCCGCAGGAAGACGGGTTTCCTTGAGCTGCAAGGAATCCCGGGAGGATTGAGCCTGGCTCCCCGCTCCCCTGCCCTGCCCCCGCCCCCAGCAGGGACAGCCTTGCCTGCCTGTGAGCACCAGGCTTATGTGGGGTCCTTGGGCAGGTGGTTTGGGGTCTGGGCATGAAAACTCCCACAGAAACGAGTGGTGACTGCCTCTTGCAGAGAACGGAGGGGCCTGGCTTCCAGCGACACTTTGGTTTATTTATCTTTTCCCGGTGTAGCTCTGTAGCGTGGGCTACGTGGGTAGCTCTGTGCGTGATCCTCGGCCTGTGAGCACCAGCCTGCTCTGACCGTCCTCACGGGTTCCTGCACTGCGCCCATTGTTGCAGCCCGGCTCGGTGCATCCGGGCCACGGTCTTGTTCGTTCCACAGCCCCTCCACTTTAGCCTGCGTGACACCTGCCTTCCCCAAGGACTGCTCTCTCCTGATGACCTGTCGCAGCACATGAGACGCTATTCCTCGCCACCCCCCATCCAGTCTAACAGCAGCCTGGCTGGGCTTCCGTCTGCCTTCTGCTTAGTGGTCTTAGTGACGCATAGCACCGGGCCTCTGAGCATGTGTTTAAGAGCAAGGACGTCCCCTGGGGGACTAAGGCGCACCTGACTCAAGCATGGCCTCTTGAGCACGCCCTCCTCTGTCTCTGCTATGCCCCAAGGCCTCCTGTCCCTGCCCGGCCACCAGCCTGCCTCCTGCGTGCGCTCAGTGCAGACGGGCATGGCCACAGCTGCCCTCTGTAGCCCGTCTCTCCACGTGTGATAGGGTTACTGCTCTGGGAGCTCTTCCTGTAAATGAGGGCAGGGGGAGTGGGGTGGTGTGCGTGATTGGCACCTGGCTGACCTGCAAGGGAGGGGCCAGGTTTAGAGTCAGAGATAGAGGTCCTTCCTCACCCCCATGCCCCCCGCCCTGCCCAGCTCCTGTGTGTGGGGGGCAGCGTGCACCCCGGCCTCTGCCTGCACCTGAACTCCGACTGGCAGACAGGAAACAGCGCCCTTGGCGCAGGCTGGCTTTGCTTCCTCCAGTCCAGCATCAGTACACGCGAGGCTCCAGGACGGCCACCCCAAGGCCGGAGGGCCGGGGTCACCTGGGGAAATGGCTTGGCCCAGCCCCCCTGCCCCAGCTGTGCCAGCGACCCCCCTTCCTGTGATGTCAAGGACGCCGTCCTGCCCCTGCATCCTGCTTCCTGGACGGTCCCTCGCGGACCGCCCGCCTGTCTCATGGGACCGTGTGTGACTGGCATGTCCCTGTCACCGCGGGACTCCGACTGCTTCTCTGCCCCAGGATCCTCCTGCTGTTTGAGCTGGCGCGGCTGTCCCTGAGCCTGAGGTCCGAGGAGGTTGCTTCCGGCTGCATCTCAGACCTGAAGAAGATGGAGGAGCTGGTACGGCCACGCCACGCCCACTGTGGCACATGAGGACACCTGCCCTGGGTGCCCATCTCCCTGAGGCCATGCTCTGCAGCGTCTACAGGGGTCACTGCACACGGCTGACCGTGTCACACAGCTGCTCCCCACTTCACTGCCCGGGCAGCCACATCCTGGGGGCCAGTGGGCCGCAGTGTTGATGCGAGAGGAAGGGGCTGACGGGCCGGCCCCCCGACACAACCAGGGAGCCATCGAGGGGCACATGGGAGAGGAAGGGGCTAGCAGACCAAGTTCATGGGATGGATTCCTCCCCACGAGGTCTGAACAATGTGCCCACAGAACTCTAGCTCCTGTGAGCAGGTGGGCTGCTGCCCGGGGTGGGGAGGGCAGCAGGCTGGACAGCAGGGGCCCAGGTGCATCAGGACGCTGTGTGTGAATTGTGGCGACAGTTCTGGGTCTGCCCCCGGGTGTTGTCTGAGACACCATGACTGGCACATTTAACTGTGTGCAGTTTGTTGTCATCACTTAAACTTCAACAAAGCTGTTACCAGGAGACCCGCCGCCCATCAGCACATGAAGGCTGTCATTTGGCAGATGCAAACGCCTTTTTTAACCACAGAGCTCCCCCACCGGTCTCTCAGGGAGCCTCGGACTCGGGCGCAGGGGCCCCCCTTCTGCCCGCGCATGGATGTGTCCGTGTCTGCACGGTGCTACCAGGCTGGCAGGGAGAGTTGGGGAAATGTTCACGGGGAGTCTCAGAGGCCCATCAGCGTTGTGCCCGTGTCGTGGGCTGGGGTGTTCCCGGGCAGGAGGTGCCCTGGCTTGGCTTTGAAGGCCTGCCTGCACCCGAGTGAGCTCCCCACAGTGGCTGAGGAGTGTTGTGTCCGACAGGAGCCTGGGAGGCTAATGGAGGTCGAGTGCCTGGAGTGTGAGTTTGAAGCCTTCAAGCTGGAGAGTAAGATGGAAGTCTATGCCCGAGGGGCTGTGGAGGTGAGCGCATCCCCTCCCCCCCCCCCCCCCCAGGCCTCCTCTCTGATTACTGACCTGGGCCTGGCTCAAGGTCAAGGGCAGTTCTGGGGCCTCAGTTCCCCCCCTGTGTGGGGGGGGCACCAGGAGCCACCAGGGCCAGCCAGTGGCATGGAAGAAGGTCCAGGGTCCCGCAGGTGGAGGGGAGTGTGAAGGGGCTGAGTGTGAGTGTGGGGGTCACAGGAAGAACCCTTAACCCCACACGTCCCAGGCACCCTGCCCCAGTGACAGTGGGAGATAGGGGTGCAGCCAAAACCCAAAAGCAGACCCACAGCCATCGAGTCCGTGCCGACCCACCGTGACCCTTTAGGACAGCGTAGATCTGCCCCCTTGGGCTTCTGAGCCTACTGTGGCGGGAGCCAGAAGCCTGTCTCTGGCTGAGTAGCTGGTGGTTTTGAGCTGCTGATCTTGCAGTTAGCAGCCCAAATGGTGGTTCATTTCCCGGGAGACAGTGGTTCTGGGAAACCCAGGACAGGGCCAGGGAAACTACATGGGGGGTGGGGGTGGGGGGCCCAGCTCTGTGCTGGCGAGCGTCTCCTGAGCCCACCAGCTGTCCCTGCCCCGTGTGCCCGGTGGGGAACAGTCTCTTGCCCCACGGGCCCCACGTGATGCTCTGCTCTTCCCAGAACCAGCTTCACATCATCCAGCAGCTGGAGGTGGTGCTGCAGCGTGCCCAGCACCTGGGAGACCCCAACGTCATCCACGTGGTGTGCACCACGCTGTGGAACGTCTGCCTCCCCATGCTCCAGCACAACCTGCGCCACCACCTGCGCAGGGCCCTGGCCAGCATCGCTGAGGTCCTGGAGAAGATGGACAGGTAGGCACCTGTGTGCCACTACAGGCCACGGGCAGAAGAGCCCTGGCTGCCACGGAGCTCACCCTGCTGTCTGACAAAGGGGAGTCTGTGGGAGGCCAGAGGCCCTGAGCCTGCTCCCGGTCAGGCCCTAAAGACACCCTGAGAGGGACATAGCCCAGTGGTGTTCTCGGGTCTGCTTCCTGCTGCTGGGGGGCAGCCTACGCCCGCCTCTCCATTGTCTTCTACACCTGTCTGTACTGAGACCCACACCTGCGACCACGGATACATCTACACCCACACCTATGTCTACTTCTACACTGTGTTAGTCTGGGTAGACTAGAAAAACAAAATTAATAAACACTCATTTTATAAGAGAGAGTTTTATATAAAGGGTAATTGTACATTAAGCATCCCAACCCAGTCCAGTTGGGTTGGGATTAGCCCATATGTCCAAAATCGATCTACAAAGTTCTCCTCAATCTCACAAAACACACACTATGAAGCAGACTGCAGGAGGAAAGCCGAATCAGGGAGTAAGTATCTCAGTGCTGGCCGGGTCTCCATGCGGTTCTCCAGCACCCAGGGCTGCATCAGGGTAGGTCCATGCGGCTTCTGCTCCTCAGGGATGTCTCGCAGGAAGTGAGTCTTGCCAGCTGAAGCAAAGAACTAGCTACGGCACCAGCACACTGCTCTAACCCTCAGAGAGCAAGAGACCAGAAAACAAGAAAGGCGAGGCTCACCAAGCCATTTAGCCCTCCGCCCTTCAATTAATCCCACATGTGTTTATCAGCCAGGTTGGCACAATAAACCTTAACTATCACATATACCTACATCTATACCACGTCTACACCATACCTACAGCTATACCCACACCTACATCTACACTCACACCTACGTCTACCCCCACACCTACATCTATACTCACACCTGCATCTACCCCCACACCTTTGTCTTCACCTATGCCTATGCCTCCATCCTGACCTTCATCTATACTTGCACCTACATCTATACCTACACCTCCATCCACACCAATGTCTACACCCATACCTACACCGAGTTTCATTGGATCAAATTCTGGTTGGTAGTGGCCGCCCCTGTACCAGGCGCTCCAGCCTGGTGGGTCTGTGGGCGGGCACCTGTTCCATGTGCCTCCCTGTCAAGCCTCTCAGGTTGGGGGAGACCGAGGTGGGACTAAGGCACAGCACAGAGCCGGGGAACCTGCCAGGCAAGCACAGCCACCGATGTGGGGAACAGAGGGGAAGGCAGTCCAGGGTGGGGAGATGGGATAGGGCACCCCCTACACCATACCCTTCCTCACCGTACCCCCCATGCCACACACACTGTCCCCACCATACTCCTCCCCACTGCGCCCTGCAGCTTGTGCCCACACTGCCATCCCCATCACGCCGTGCAGCCTGTGTCCACACCGCCCTCCCCCTGTGCCCCGCAGCCTGTGGGTGCTGCTGCGCTGCCAGGTGCACATGGAACTGGCCCACCTGGAGGAGGACGAGGACCGCCTGGAGCCCGCGCTGGAGCAGCTGCAGAAGGCCCAGCGCCTGGACAGCCTGGGCCTCTACCAGGACCGGCTTCACATGGATGCCAACCGTCTGCACCTCTGCACCCTGCTCTACCAGCAGCCTGAGCGCGCGGAGGACAGGGCCATCATGGCCATCGAGCAGGTGCCCACCCGGTGCTGGGGAGCCAGGGGAGCGAAGGGTTGGGGAAAGGGGCAACAGGGGAGGGGGGAGCTGTAGGTCCTGGGGAACTGGGTTAGTGAGGAGGGGGAGCAGGGACGAAGGGCATAGACCCCTGCCCTGCCTGCCTGCTGGGTCCTGGAGGGATCTGGGCAGTAAAGGGAGCAGGGGGGTGGACCTGGGGTGGCGGTGCAGCAGGAAGAGGTGGACACATGTCCCCGGGGGAGTGGGGACAGTGTGGAGTGGGAGGAAGGCTCCTTGTCTGGGGCTCGGGCCCGCGCCTGTCTGGCAGCAGTGGAAGAAGGGCCCCAGCACCTTGCCCCACAGGCGAAGAAGGTCATGCCCAAGGACAGCGTCCGGAAGAAGCGGGCCCTCCTGGTGAACGCAGGCCTGGCCCTGGCGCCCGACGCCTTCCAGATTGTGCTCAACAGTGAGAACGAGGCCAAAGGTGGGCGTGGAACAGAGGGCACTGAGGGCAGCAGGGGCGAGGCCACCAGGGGCTGCCCATGGAGGCCAGCGGGAACCTGTCAGCCCTCACGGCCAGATCATGGGGCCACAGGACCCCGGATTCACATAGCTCTCCACTCCCACGGCCCTGAGGTCACATGATTCCTGCCCCCCAAGTCACGGGGTCCTCATAGTCACAGAGCCCCCCACTCACGTGGCCCCCACCGTGGATGAGAGGTTCCCAGGTGCTCCCCAGGCTCACGGCCTGCCTCCACTGACCCTCTTCCTGCAGTCTCCCTGGGGAAAAGCAAGAGCCGCTTCTCCGGCCTCTTTGCCAAAGCGCGACACTTCATTGTCAGCGTGGACAAGGCGGCCGGGCACCTCCGGAGACTGGGCAGTGAAAACGACCAGGAGAGGTGTGCATGCTGCGGCAGCACTGCCCCCTATTCAACCCACACCCCCACTCACCCCCCAACCCTACTCACCCATGCCCACATGAAGGCCCTCATCCCCATTCACCCTGTGCCCCCCAGGGTGCTGCCCCCAACTCACCCCCACAGCCCCGTTGGGTGACCCCCAGCCCCCACTTGTTTGTGCCTTCCCCAGAGGCCTCTGCCCCTACTCTCCATGCCCATGTCCTATGGGGTAGCCCCCCACCCCTGTTGCCCCACTGTCCCCGCCACCAGGGGCAGACCCCCACTGCCCCTTGCGCCCAGTTTACCTGGCCCTGTGCCTCTCTCCTGGCTGGGCCTGGGCACAGGATCCAGATCTGGGCAGACCTGGCCAAAGTGGCGAGGAAGCAGGGTGTCTGGGACGTGTGCAGGGCCGCCAGCCGCTTCTGCCTGCTCTACGACTACATGAAGGCCAAGAAGCCCATCCGGCTCAAGCGAGGTACACGTGGCGTGGCGTGGGGGGGGGGGCACATAGACATGGCCAGGTGGTCCATGCTGGCCCCCGACCCCGGCCCCAGGCAGACTTACAGCAGGTCTCCAGGACAGGGCCATGTCTCTGAACTCGAGGGGCGGGGCACCTTCAAGTGTAAAAGGTCCAGGCATCATTGCAGACTCCTCTCGGACATGGACTTTCCCGGCCCCTGCTCTGGTCCTGAGGACCGGTTCTGTGACCTCATTTCGGGGCTCTGGCAGGAGAGGGGGTAGCGAATGGGGCTGGACTCCCTCCCAAGGCGTGCCTGTGTGGGGTGAGGAGCCTGCAGGGACCAGGGAGGAGCAGGCTCTGCTTGGAGTGGCTGTCTCGAAGGCCCAGGCTCCCTGCTGGGACAGGCTGGTGGGCAGGGCAACCTCCGTGGGGTGAACGTGGAGCAGACAGCCCAAGCCGGCGGGGGGTGGGAGGTTGGGGGTGGGTGGGTGGGTCTTGTCTCGCTCCAGGAGTGGCCCCTCCCGATGTCTGGGTAGCCCGGAGGCTTCTCTGACAGTCACTCGGTGTCCCTCAGGGAAGAAGAAGCGTGCCCAGGACAAGGCTGTGCACGGCAGCGGGGGGCCGCCGGGGCTCAGCCTGCAGCGGCAGGATATGCCCAAGCTGCTGCGAAAGTTCGCCGAGGTGGGCTTCATCAATGCCGAGGTACGTGCGGGCGGGCATCGTCTGCATGCCCTCCGGGTCCCGCTCCCGTCCCCTCGTGTGTCCTCGTGCAGGGGCCAGAGAGCTCCTGGTGTCAGCCCTGAGCACCCTTCAGACGTGCGTCCCTCCGTGTGGGGGGACACAGCGTGGCAGCGACTCCTGAGCAGGCAGGACCCTGACTGTGGTGACAGGACGCCAGTGAGGATAGGCAGCAAGGCCGCTCCGGCCACCCCGAGGGCCGTGGACCAGGCAGCGCAGTGCACACTAAGAGATGGCGGGAGCTGGCATTTGATGACGTGAGAGGCTATGCTCACTGGACAAGAAAGTGGGTAGCTCGCTTGTGGAGACCCCATGTGGCTGACCAGTGAGCGTGATGGATGGGTGAAGGACAAACAGTAAGGGACGAGGCTGTGAGGGACTGTGTTCTGGGTGCACTGTGGCCTCCTCGCCTATATGGATGGGTGTTTGCACACTGCCTACCTGTGTCTGAGGAGAGAGGGACCAGGTGGCAGCCAGTGAGGGGCCAGCTCTCAGGGGCTTGCTTGCTCCCCAGGCAACAGTCCATCTGCTGAGGTCTGAGGGGGTCCAGCTCAATGACCTCCCCATCCCTCCTGAAGACACCAGCCAGCACTCAGCCGGCTACCAGGCCACAGTGCCCGACGAGAATGCAGAGTGGGTCACGTACAGGTAGGGCCGCACCTTAGCCGGTGGCTCACAGGTGCCCAGCACAGTGCGACCTGCACACTTCGGTCAGCTCAGACGGAAGGACAGGTTGCAGAGGCGGTGGGGACCTGGGCGGGGTCCGTCTGGGCCCCGTGTGGCCCGTGACTGACCACTGCTTGCCCAACACCCATAGACACCCCAGTTCAGCCCAGCCGCGCAGTGGTCCGGGAGTGGTAGGGTGAGGGCAGAGGCTCCCGGTCAGCTCAGCCCCCGTGTGGGACCCTCGGGGCCTGTGCACGCAGCAACTGGATCGAGAGCCTGTCGCAGTACGCCATGAGCAACTGGCTGCGCTCCGCCGAGATTGGGCAGGAGATCGGCGAGGCGTGGATCGTGCAGAACGCAGTGGTCTACGTGCTCAACCACAACCGCCACCTCATCACCGCCGGCCGCCAGAGGGAGCTGGTGGGCGCGCTGCAAACCCTGCTGAGCAGCTGGGCACGCCGCCCTCCAGGGCTGCGCCTGTGCGGGCTGGGCTGGGGAGGGGTGGGCGGAGCCTCGGGTGGGCCGGCCGGCGGGGCTGGAAGCCAGGGCCAGTGGGTGGAGTCGATTCGAGAGAGGGGTTGGGGGGCCTCGGGGTTGGAGTGGACCTTGGGCTTGGCCTGATGCCGGGAGGAAAGACCGAAGACACCGCTAAACTAACAGCCCCGGGGTTGCCCAGTGGGGCAGTGGGGGCCTCCTGCCGGGGACACAGGCACGTAGCCCATGTGGGACGATGTCACAGTCCTTGAGAGGGGAGTCCGGAGGCCCCATAGCGTCGGAGCACACAGCCGGTGCCGGGTCGAGCGGCCTCCGACGAACTGGCGCTCCCTTCTGCAGAGACGCGGTCAGCCTGGTGGGGATCTGCAACGCTCTGGCACGGGGCCTGATTCTCAGCTGGATCCCTGCCCAGACCACGGAGAAGTTCCGGAAACTAATGCGGGGGACGCAGCCGCACGGGGCGCTGGACTCGGGGGCCATCTCAGAGATCAAGACGGCACTGGAGGTGTGGGGGGTGGGGGCGCTGGGGGGGTGGGGGCCGGTGGGCGGGGTCAAGCAGGCAGAGGATTGGGTGCCAGGCTCCGGCTCAGTTGCCCATAGGAGAGGGATCAGCACTGGATGAAGGATGAGACCAAAGATGGCACAAAGAACAAGGCCCCTTTGGACAGGATGGCCTGGCAGGGCCTTCACTCTGAAGTGTACCCCCAATCCAGGGGGCTTCAGAGGAAGGAAAGATAGCAGTTGAAGGACCCTTAGTGGGCTGCTAGCCACAAGGTCCCTAGTTCAAACCCACCAACTGCTTCCTGGAAGAAAGATGAGGTTGTCTGCTGTAAAGAAGAACAGGTCCACTGGGTCCTAGGGGGTCCCCGGCTGTGTGTCTGAATGGACTATAAGAAGGGAGTGTGTGATCTTGTCATAGCTGCTGAAAAGGAGCACGCTGATCTACAACCTCCGGGTGAGAGGTTGGCTTGGAGGAAGCACAGGCCCTAGTGTGTCACCCACAGGTCTGGCTGCAGAGCCTGGGGGCCATGGCAGCTCTGGCAGACTGGCAGCTCTGGGAGACTGGCAGCTGGTGCAGCTTCTCAGGGCTTGGTCCCCCAGGTCTGTGAGTTTGCCCTGAGCCTGACCAACGGAAGTGTGCCTGAAGACCAGGTGCCCACCCACACCAGGCAGCAGCTCATCGCAACCTGGGTGAAGGCCAAGCAGCTGGCACAGCAGCAGATTGGACCCCGGCTGGGCGTGGATGAACAGGTGCGCAGCTGTAGGGACTAGGCCCCCATGGCCCGCCCCCGGCACCCTCATGAGATGGGCGTGAAAGTCTCCTGGGCCTTGAAACCCTGAGGGCATCACTCCCTCAGCCCCACATGCCATGGCTTTGGCAGTGCCCCCTGACCGCCCTCCCCCCAGCCTGGCTGCTGCAGAGGGCAGTACAGATGAGGTAGGAGCAGTAGGTGGTGCCCCCCACCCCCTCCAGCCAGTTCCAGGTCAGTGTCTGCTCCAGCAAACTGGAGACCCAGACTATAGGAAGCACCCCC